CGCTCACCGCACCTCTCCTTCCGCATCCAAGGCTCTCGGCGCCTCAGCGTTTGCCGGGCACCTGCTACGTGCTGGCCTGCGCCCTCCGAGTGCGGACGCTGCTCTCTGGAGACAGGCCACAGGCAAACGAACGAGCAGGGCCCCGCCCGCGGGGTGGCATGGCAGAGGGTGCGGGAGCAAAGGAGTAGGACCCATTCAAGGCCATGTGGCAGGGCAAGGATCTCAGCCACAAACACCAGCCCTGCCGTTACTGGGGGACCAGGCCTCCTGGGCAAAGATGCAAGAGGGGGCAGATTTGGTGTGGTCGGGGAGCCGAGGCCAGGGCGGCAGGAGAGGAGGAATGCCAGGCCCTGGGCCCCGGGCTTTCCACACTTAGAATCAACGTTCACAGTGTGCGGGGCCTCCCCCCATGCTGCGTCCCTCGCTGCTGCTCCACGAGCCCTGGGAGTCACCCACACCGGGGCTCCGTAATTGTTGACCGGAGTGTCGAGCGAACGAAAGCAAGGATTCTGGACTGAGTGCTTGGCCCCCCGATTTCCGTGGAGCAGGTGTCCCAGGGGACAGCCGGTGGCTGGTGGCCTGTAGATGGGACAGCGCCCTGCTCGGCTGCCTCTTGTACTGTCAGACTCTGCCGCTACGGGCTACCAGAGCTACCGGCCGCTGGATGGCCTCAACTTACCACGATTTCCGTTAGAACAGCCTTGGGCATTTTGCTCTTTCTTTCTTTCCTTAATTCAACGAATGTTTCCACCTGCTTCTCCCAAGCACCATCTTGGGCAGAGGGATGAGCTTCCAGGGAGAGAGAGGCGCCCCACAGAAAGTTTGGGTCCCGGGTCCCTGACGGCGGATGCGTGAGGCCCGCGCGTCCTCGGGGCAGCCAGAGGTGAGGCTGGAGCATGCAGGAACCGCCAGGCACTGCCTGTATTTCGAGGGAAAGTAACCCCGGCCTTACCTAACACCCGTGGTGCATCAAGAAAAAGGGACATTGCGGGCTCCAGGACGCAGACGATCCAGCAAAGCACAGACAGGGGTAAAGGGAGTTCTCAAGATGCGGGTGAAGGGGATTCCAGGCCCAGCTCCACATCCTCGGGAGAAACCACTGTGGGTGGAGAAGGCCGGGGCTCTGGGCAGGAGTCTCCGGGGAAAGTGGAGGTAAAGCCCCCCCCCGGGTGTGGCCATCTTGAGAGGAATTCTGCTCTGGCAGAGGCTGGGAATAAGGAAGTGACAGGGACACAGAGACGAAGCAGACAAGCATTAAGAGGCATTAACTCTGCAGAACAGGTGGCAAGCAGGTGTGGCTGAGGATGCAGTTCGACTTGGGACTTCATGCCGAGGTGTCGCATGGAAGGCTGGATGAAAGAAGAGGGTTCACAATCCAATGTGGAGAGCTCAGTGTGGCGGGGGGCGCACCCAGATGGTATTGAGACCCACGGTACCAGACAAGGTCGCCACGGGAGCCAGGGTAGATGGAGAGATGTGGCTTGCGGACCGAGTCTTGGGGAATACCTGTGATGTTTATGGGATGATCTGCGTGGAAGGAAATTACTGGAGAGGGTGGTGTCCTGGAAGCCTAGAGCACAGAGGGGCTGACCACCCGAAACTGTGCTCTGGGTCAAAGAGGATGAGGAGAGAGGACCAGCCCTTGGCATGATGTCCATGCATGGGTGATGGCAAGATGAGGGCAGGGATCCCACTGGAGTGGATTCGAGAAAGCCTGGGAGCTGTTGCCAGAGAGAATGGGCAGCTCTCAGAGACAACCATGCTGCTGTCCCATGGGACCCAGCTCTGGACCTCAGAGAGCTCTGGTACTTTTATTGTGGTAGGGGGACAAGGGCCCGACTCCGGTCAACCCTGAGCCTTACAGGGAGCATCCTGGCCCAGTGAGTTCAGTGCAAATCCAGTTCATGCTGCTCACTAGCCGAGTGGCATTTGGCAAGTGACTTAATCGCTCTGGGGTTTAGCTTCCCCAATTCGGAAATGGGACGATGACAGGACCCACTTCATAGGGTCATAATGGGCTTGAAGCGAGAGAGTTCTCGTTAAAAATAGTCCCTGGCGCCCAGTAAGTACCTGGCTTCTTTTTAGAGTAAGATGCCCTTTGTTCTTCCTCCGCCTTTCCTGACTCCTGTGGCATGTTACCCCAAGACCCCCCAGCCCTAATGCTCCTCTCCCACGCTGTCCCAGCCTGTGCATGGATCTGTGCAGCCCTGAAATGTTTATGTACAAGGAAAACGCCCCCATCCACTGACTTTTTCGCAGAAAATAGAAACACGGGACGATGAGTCACCTGAGAGAATTTCACAGTCCACCGGTGTCCCTCCATCTAGGACTCGGAGACTTTCCTCCCATCCCATGCACCTGCCACTGGGTGTCTCCCCATCCAGGACCACGCCAGCTCGGCGATGTTTCCGTCCAGCCCAGATCGACACCCACAATGTGTGAGGACTGGGAGGCCCAGAGTCACCCTGGACTTGCCCCTTCCCACACACCCCCACCCCTGCCCACCCACCACAGCCCCTGAGCAGATGGCTCTGTCTCCTGATCCGTCCTGGGATGTGTCCATGTCTCCCCTCTGCAGCCACTGCCCCAGGCTGAGACGCCAGGCTTCCCGGCAGCGGGTAAGGGGCCTCCCTGCCCCTCCACAGATCAATCCCCAGTGCGATGCTCAAAGGATGTGCATCAGACCCTGTTAAACCCCTGCTTCAGTCCCCCAGTGGCTTCCCTTTCCCTTGGAACGAGATTGAGCTCCTTCCCATGTCCGGCAGAGTGCCCAGGGCTCGGCACCACCCTCCTTGGGACGCGTCTCCTGCCCACTGGGCGCGGCCTGTGTCCCTCCAAGGGCCTCCTTCCCTGGGCACCAGGGACCTGAGCACTCGCATGATCTGCCACACACCTAAGCTGCGCCCTGTCTGGAATCCTCCCTTGTGACCCCACCATGTCATTCTGTCCCTTCTCCCCTGCATGGCATCTGCATAACCTGAACTCAGCTCATCCTCCCTCTGCGGGGGGCTTACTCTCCCTCTGTGGGGGCACAGGCCATCTCCCCCACCACTGGGCTCCCCTTCCGGAACAACCCAGAGCTGCTGACACACAGCAGACAACCAGCATTTGTTGAATGCATGAATGAATGAATGAATGAATGATCTCATCAGCAAGTGTAGCATGCTGGCCCTCCGTGCTGGAAATCAAATGGAAATAGGAACTCTGAAGAAATCGCCAGTCTCGTTCCACTCAAGGTTCAACCTTCCTCTTTGAATGCTTTGTTCAGAAATCAGAGCTCTAAGACATTGCCACATTGGCACCCTGATTTTGCACCGGTTTCTCTTCCTCGGCTCCTGCCACTGATGAAGCATCAGTGTGTCCAAAATAGAGACCACGATGAATGCAGGGAAGGGAGAAAGGAAATTAGACGAGGCACAGAAAAGGCTGAATATCAGAAATTGGCTCTGGCGCACTTTCCCGGCATCGGATGTTTCCTAAATGAAACTCCAGGCCCCCGGAGAAGGTGCTGCTGAGAATCACCGACCTGTCGCCCCCTCGGCAGGAAATCTGTATTTCCACAGGCTTCCTATCTCTCTGGGAGACGCCGGGCCAGGGACGGGGCTTCTGGGGCCGCAGGGAGCGGGCTCAGGTGCCGGGTGGCCATGTCCGGGCTCCGTACAGCAGGCAAAAAGAAGAGCCGTATCTCTGCCTGGCCCCCAGCAAGCAATATCCTTTCTGGATAACATCTAATGAAACGTTGCTTCTCACTGTGCCGGCCAACGTACTATGGCAGGTAATAAGGCCGGACAGTCCCCATCAGCGGGGGCTTAGTGACAGCCACCCTTGATACATGGTCCCAATAAACAGAGAAGCAGCCTGAGAAATTCTCCACCTGCTGCAAAGTCTGCTCTCAAACCCAGGAGAGGGGCCATCCCAGCAGACTCTCATCGCCAGCCAGCCAGGTGGGCACGCGGCCCTGAGTCCTTTATTACAAGATCAGAGGCCTGGAAAGGTGGTGGGGTGGGTGGAAGGCCACCCAGGTGGAGGTGGGGGGTGCTGCTCGCTGCCCATCAGCGGCCAGTCTCAGGAGCGCCCTCCACAGGCTGCCATGCACCTGTAGCCCAGACCAGAAAGGCTCTGGCTGGTGGGGCCCACTGCCCTCGCGGGAGGAGTGGCTCCAGGTAGGACTGGGGCTTCCGGAAGGAAATGAGAACCACACCCCGGACCGCAAGCCCCCCATAGAGGGATACAGGAGAGGACCACAGCTGATGAGGAGGATGGGCCCGGGGGCAATGTTCTTAGCCCCCCAGCACCACCATGGACCCCATGGGGACGGGCCCTGAGCTGCTCAGTGCTACCCTCTGTTTCCCTCCTTCCTCCTTGTTTCTTAGTCTCTGCTTCTCTTTCTTGTGTTCATTCCCTCTTTCTCGTGCTGAAAATATTGCCCTGAGACTTGATCTGCTCACTTAACAGCACATGACGGAAATCTCCCCAGTTCAGCAGATATAAACCAGAATTATTCCTTTTAATGACGCCGTCCTGGTCTGCAGTGTGGACCTACCGCAGTTTATACCCCTGCCTCGGATGGGCGTCCAATTTAACCCCGTTCCCCACCCACATCCCGCCAGTACTGAAAAAAAAAAAACCACAAAAAAACCCCAAAGAACAAAGAAAACAAAACCCAAGTCGTGTCGAACTGGTTCCTGTGGTTCTTACAGGGCATTTTTTCTGGAATGGAAGGTTGCAGATGGAGACACAGGTGTGTGTTTAGTTGTAATCGATGCCGGCAGGGCCGAAGCCACCCGCCCCCGGCGGCCACCCGAGCGAGGTTTCCCCGCGAGCCCGCCGGCACCGCGCGCTAGAGGGTCCCCGTGTTTGCAGTCCAGCTCAGGACATGGGTGACTCGGGGGAGCTGGGCAGCACGGGGAGGCACAGACGCCGGGAAGGAGGGGAGACGCGGGTGCGCAGCCCCACCCCAGTCCCTCCGCACCCCTAACCCCGGGCGCGCCCGTGCTCACCTTCTGCAGCAGGTCGATCTCCTGCTGTTTGGCGTGGAGGACAGCCAGGGCCTGCTCATGCTCCAGTTCCAGGTGCTGCCGCCGTTCTGCGGCCTCTCGCATGTGCTGCGGGGGACAGGCGGGGTCAGCGCGGGAGCCGGGGTCCTGTGCAGGGCGGCCGCGGGCCGCTCTGGCTCTCCCCGCTCCCTCGCCCCTTCCCCCGGGGGACCCAGATGCCGACAAGCCTTCCACCTCAAATTACCTTGTCTTTTCAATGCCCTGAGCACTAAGCAGAACCAGAGGTCCTCGTGCGAAGGCGAGCTCTCCTGTCCGTTCCCAGCCCCGTGCAAGCAACAGGTTATGGATCCTTGCCTACCTAGCGGGTAGAGCTAGGTAACCCCGCAGGTTATGGATCCTTGCCTACCTAGCGGATAGAACTCCAACCCTTTTGGGCGATTTACGTCCTGCAACCCTCCCATTCATCTAGGAGGCAGACACTATAACGGGGGAAACAGAGGCACAGGGAGGTTCTCCCGGCTCATCACACCCTGGCAAGTGGCCGTCCCAGATTCGGGTCAGGCTCCATGCAGCCTCCGAATCTCAGGCTCCGGCGCTGTCTGCTGGCGCTCTGCTCCAGCCACACTGGCCTCCTTCGCAAGCATTCCCGGCAGGCGCTGACGGGGACGGCACGGACACCGCACGGATCGTGGAGACGCACCTCTGGCACTTCGGGTCAGTACGGGGCAAAGTGCAGCATTTAAGAGCCCGGGTTCAAATCCCAGCGCTGAGCTGGGGCCGGTGCCTTAACCTCTCTGTGCTTCACCTTCTCCACCCGGATTATTCATTAGCATCATTAGCCATTTGTAAATGGTTAATTAACAACACGCTAAGTAACTGTTGTTGATGGCTAATTATGAATCAGCGCCTGCTCCGTGCAGGTGTTGTGAATGTCTGACGAGGCGGGGGGGGGGGGGGGGTACCTGGCATCTATGAAGTCCTGGGTCTCCTTTCACTCTGAGCCTAGGGAGCCCTGTGCACGTCACGCGGCGCGGCGCCCTGAGGCCGCCCCAGCGCGTGCGCGGGAGGGAGGAACTTGCAGGGAGGGGAGGAGCCTGCGGGGGAGGAGCCTGCGGGGGAGGAGGAGCCTATGGGAGGGGAGGAACCTGAGGAGGCAGAGCCTGTGGGGAGGAGCCTGCTGGGGAGGAGGAGCTTGTTGGGGAGGGGAGGAGCCTGCAGGGGGAGGAGGAGCCTGCGGGAAGGGGAGGAGTCTGCAGGGAGGGGAGGGGCCTGTGAGGGGGAGGAGCCTGCACCTGGGAGGAGGAGCCTGCAGGGAGGGGAGGAGTATGCAGGGGGAGGAGGAGCCTGCAGGGAGGGGAGGAGTATGCAGGGGGAGGAGGAGCCTGCAGGGAGGGGAGGGGCCTGTGAGGGGGAGGAGCCTGCACCTGGGAGGAGGAGCCTGCAGGGAGGGGAGGAGTATGCAGGGGGAGGAGGAGCCTGCAGGGAGGGGAGGAGTATGCAGGGGGAGGAGGAGCCTGCAGGGAGGGGAGGAGCCTGTGGGAGGGGAGGAGCACAGAGAGGGGAGAAGCCTGTGGGGGGAGGACCTGCAGAAGGAGCAGAGAGTGTTCCCGCAGGACCGTGAGCGGCTGGGACCGCAGCACCCGTGAGATGGTGGCAAAGAGGCTGCGCTCCCATCGATGGGCACTCGCAACCCATGTGCGCACCGCCTCGTCCGACGCCGGCAGCTGGACGCTGTGGTCACCGCCGGCCGTGGGCGCTGGAGCCGGAGCCGGAGCAGCCGAACGACTTCCTTGCTCGAGGCCACACAGGCGGAAGCCTCTCCGGGGCGGCAAGCCTCCCAGTCGGGGTCCGCCTGCTCGCCGACCTCTCCTGGCCCGAGGCCTCCTACCACGCGCCTTCTCCACCCTGAAAGTCCGCTGCTGGGGCAGATGGGCGGCTTCGGGCTCCAAGCGCCGAGCTGGTTTGCATGAACAATGACGCAGCTGTCTAATTACACTATTGTTCCGGCTAATTTCTGAGCTTCTGTTTATTTTGGAAGCGCACACTGCTGAATGCAGCCCGGGTACTCTTTATTTAGCTTCGGGAAGGAAGCTATTAGTGGAAGGAGGAAACCATCTTCCTTACAAGGATTCATTAGGAACACGGACAGAACTCGGAGATGGTCCGAGCGCGCCGGGGCAGGCTTCACGGCCACAGGGGCATCACCGGGCGGCAGACCCTCCGCGGGCTCCTTGCCTGGACTTACGGGTCAGATGGACGAAAACCACTGGCTTCGAAATTGCTGGGGCTGATGAGCCGGTCACTGTGGAGTGGCTGTCAGGAACGTACACGTGTGTACAAATACGTGCCCCTCGTGCGGTACGCTGTTCGAGGCCGTGATGTCCCAGCAGGGAGGACCGATTCGTGGGAGCTCGGACCACACCTGTCCCTTCAACATCCTCTCCTCCCCCCCGCCCCCCTCCCACTGCTGCCCCTGCACCTGCTGCCCTTCCCAGCCACACGGCTCCGGAGGCGTCTCCACTGGCCACGTCCACACCCTCACTTCCCGCTCTGCTGTCTGGCCTCCCCCACCACTCGGCTGACACCCCCTGCCTGACGCCCACGCCATCCAGCCCGCGGCCACCCCTCAACAGGCACACTCTGTGCCCCACCGGCTCCCCTCCTTCCCCGCCGCTCCCTTCCTCCTGCACGGTGTCTCCACCCGGGGATGGTTGCTTATACTTTTTCCCGGGCGGATAGCCCGCCTCCTCGCTGTAGCTGCCATTCATAAACTCTCGCTCCCAAATGAAATCCTTATCTCTTCGACGGTGGCCAACTGCCCACTCACCCTCTCCACCTGGAGGGACAGGAGGAATCTCAAATTTAGCCTGTCCAAAACTGAGTTCTGGACTTTCTCTCCCAAACCACTTGCTCCCCAGTCTGCCCATCTCAACAATGACACCACCATCCACGCAGTTCCTCCTCGGTCCCCCCCCCCATTCCTTCCCGCTCAACATCCAGAGTTTGCAAAGTGCTTCTGTGTGCTCTGCCATCTTCCTGCCCCCGCCAGGCCAGCAGCCATCCCCTCTGCCCTGGGCCATAACCACACACACAGGTGGTCTTCCTGACCCCAAAAGGTCCCCCAGCATGGCCAGTACTCTCTGCAAGACAGAAGTCACCCCCACAGCTTTATGTGTCTGCCCGACTGGGCAGAGGTGCCCAGGGAGCTGGGGAAGCGTTATTTCTGGGCGTGTCTGAGAAGGGTTTCCAGAAGACAATGGCATTTGAATGGGTGAGAGAGGAAAGGAGTCGCCCGCCCCTACATGGGGGGGCCTCATCTACTCCCCTGAGGACCCAAAGGACAAAAAGGTGGCAAAAGGGCCAGTTTGCTCTCGTCCCCTCTCCTGCCCTCGACACCTGTGCTCCTGGTTCTCAGGCTTTCAGACTCAGGTCGGGACTTACAATCAGCCCCCAAATCTCAGGCCTCCAGACTCGGACAGAATTGTGGACGGCAGATCAAAACCTGAGCTGAGATCAAGAGTCGGACACTTAGGGGCGCCAGGGTGGCTCAGTAGTTAAGCGTCTGCCTTCGGCTCAGGTCATGGTCCCGGGGTCCCGGGATTGAGCCCCGCATCAGGCTCCCTGCTCCGCAGGGACCCTGCTTCTCCCTCTCCCACTTCCCCCGGCTTGTGTTCCTGCTCTCGCTGTGTCTCTCTCTGTCAAATAAATGAATAAAATCTTAAAAAAAAAAAAAAAAAGAGTCGGACACTTAATCGACTGAGCCACCCTAAAGAGAGACTATCCTTGATGACATCATCTGAGCACCCTGATTCAGCCATGCCTGAAGCCTAACATATCTCTCATATACCCCACTTTATCAACGAATGACTTTCCTCTTTTTCTTTCTTCAAACTATTTGACATAGGTTTCTATGAACTTTATCATAAACTGCCCAAACTAAAATATTTTTCAACAGCATTTACAGCTGCCACAAAATGTAATTCCATCATGTCTCACATTATGCACTGAAATTTCATGACTTTTTATTCTTGCTTCTCAAAATAAAGAGACAGCTGGTGGATCATGACAGCTTTGGGGTTGTTTCAATTCCCTGTTTGGGGTAAGAAACAGCCAGAGAGCCAAAGGAGCTTTCCAGAAGTAAGTGACACCTTCTCAGCAGCAGAAAGAATATAAACTGGAGGTCAGGGAGGCAGGGGTGGGGGGGGTGGGGTCAGGGTGCTTGGTTTACCATGACAGTCATCCTGTCAGGGGGCCTGGAGAGGCCTGGTAGATACCAGCTGCCATGTCTCTCCACCACTGGTCAAGCAAAGAAGTCCTAAGCTCAAAGTTGCTGGCAGGAGATTACCTTAGCCACAGGATACCCGTGGTGTGTGGATCTGGAGACCCAGGAGTCCAGCAACAGAACCAACCGAGGGGGTGTCCCTGGAACTCCGGGAGGATGGCCAGTCCAGAGGACGCACGCAGAGGCCACACTTCAACCCTTCAACACTGGGACCTTCCACCCCAGGAAGGAGCCAGGGGAGGAGCTCAGGGATCAGGTGGAAGGAAGGGCAGTGATGTGGGAAATCACAAACCTGCACGGGAGCTCTTGATCCCGTGTGTGGGGCCTCAGCAACTAGCCCTCCTTGGTGCTTATTGTGGATTGTACACCTATGTCCTTCTTGTCCCTGTAAGCAGGTTGCTGGCATGGTCTTCCCAGCCCCACACATCAGAATCCTCAGCCTAACCTAAACACAAGTTCTGGAAGGATTGTTGTACTTCATACACACGACCCACTGAATCTTTGCAACAACTTCAGGGGCAGGCAATATTTTTACTCCTGTTTATAGAGAAGGAAACTGAGGCCCAGAGAGTTTAAGTAATCTGCTCAAGGTTGCCCAGCCAGGAAATGATGAAGCAAGGACTTGAACCCAGGGAGCCCAGCTCCCTGACCTTCACTCTGTCATCTCCCTGCTGGGTGGGAGGCTTTCCATGGGATCCTTCCCGTGCGTGTGGGATGTGCTGATATGCAGCAGGCTTCCCGCAAGAGAATCAGTGTGAGACCGTTTCATGCAACGTCTCTGAAGCTCTCAGGCTGGGAGACACACTCTGTGCTCGGCCACAAG